CCAATAATGTCAACAGGTATGGACATTTTGCAGCAAAGGACATTTGCCCCCCTCTTTAAAAATATTTGACTGGACATTTGCCTCCCTACCCCACCCCTTCTGAGTTTACCAAAAGATATGTCAATTGAATTCTTTAGCTTTAGGTTTCAGTTCAATCAAAATGCATTTATTTCAACAATGCTGCATTTATTGTTGTATCTTATCGAAACACAAACTTAAAGCTGCATGCCTCCAGATGAACAAAAATATTTCAAGAAAATCAGCTTTGAGAAAATGTACTAAGATCTTAAGAATAGTAAAAAGATTCACATTTCAAGAAATAATTTACATGCAATTTCTATGCAATAATGACTGATTTTGAAGTATTAAATTTATAACCATATTTCTACTGTGTAACACAGTAAGGAATTTATTTTATAATGCATATGAATTGTAGACTTTCTTTGTTATGTTTTGTAGATTATAAGTTCAGTTTTCAATTTGTAAATTACTTTCTTTGTCCACTTGGCAATATTTTACCTTTTTGTAGTTTCTGATCACAGATCAGAAAGTACAATGCTGACATTCAATCTCTTGCACAAAATTTCACAACAAACCTAACATTTACAAGTAGTTCTCAAAACAGCTTAAAACTAGCGATGTAAAAGAAAGAAATATTTTTATTTTGTTACAAGTATCCAATAAATTACAACGCATTCAAAGTTTAAAAGTAGCGTTGGCTTATAGAATTGTCAATAAATGCACAATCACAAATTACGAGGATGAATATCATTTTAATCATGAAAATGCTATTTTTAGCTGTGTCGATTACCGAATACTTCATCTGAGCGTGGTACACAAATAAATCTGACTGTCGAGTAGTGGAATATATACATGTCGGTCTATTTTCGCAAGAAGATTTTCGCTAAATTATTTACATCAGACGTGTTAAACAACAGGTTTATCGTGAACAAAATACCTCAAAATTAATAAGGATAACAAACCCGAAATGGAAATTCTAAATTTAGAATCATTTGATTTTATTCAAGCTTTCTTCGTATAACTGCCCCGTGGTGCAAGGGTAACGCGTTCGTTTAGGGTGCGAGCGGTCTTGGGTTCAAATCTGGGGTTCAAATCCAAGTCGAGGCAACAATTTTTTTTAAGTGTCTTTTTTTAAGGTAGTAGCAACGATATGCACGGATAAAGTGTGGCTGTCATAAAAATGAACATAAATGATTTTTTTATGCAACTCTAGTCATGCAAAATTCCGTATGCATCAAACTGTTTTAGTAAAAAATCTAAACGCAGTCGCTGCATCTCGGTGCCCTGTAAGATGAATTATAGTATATGAAAATAAAATTATACAGGAAAATACATACAGATATACAGTACGATTTAGATTGCAAAGATCAGAAAATACCACAGATATTGCAGCCCTTTGATTAAAACACAGTTTAGGTTGATATCCAATATACAGTATGATGGATATTCTACAGCTTAGAGTTTGATTAATTTTTTATACCCCCACCACAAAATGTGGGGGGGGCTATAATGGATTCGCTTTGTCGCGTCGGTCGGTCAGTTGGTCGGTCTGTCTGTCCGTCCGTCTCCATTTTCGTGTCCGCTCTATAACTCCTATACCAATTGAAGGATTTTCTTCAAACTTGGCTCAAATGTTCACCTCAACCAGGGGATGTGCAGAACCCATGTCGCCTATGTGTCAGCACAAGGTCAAGGTCACAATTGAAGGTCAAATATCAAACAATTAAATATTACACAGTATGTCGTGTCCGCTCTGTAAGTCCTACACTACTTGAAAGATTTTCTTCAAACTTGGCTTAAATGTTCACCTCAACCAGGGGATGTGCAGAACCCATGTTGCCCATGTGCCAGCTCAAGGTCACAATTGAAGGTCAAATATCAAACAATCAAATATTACACAGTATGTTGTGTCCGCTCTGTAAGTCCTACACTAATTGAAAGATTTTCTTCAAACTTGGCTCAAATATTCACCTCAACAAGGGGATGTGCAGAATCCATGTTGCTCATGTGTCAGCTCAATGTCAAGGTCACAATTGAAGGTCAAATATCAAACAATCTAATATTACACAGAATGTCATGTCTGCTCTGTAAGTCCTACACTAATTGAAAGATTTTCTTCAATCTTGGCTCAAATGTTCATCTCAACCAGGGTATGTGCAGAACTTATGTCACTCTTTTGCTGGCTTAAGGTCAAGGTCACACTTTAAGGTCAAAAATTGACTTAGAAAATATTCTTAAATTTTAACATTTATTTGAATATTTCTAAATCTAGAAAAGGTATTTGCTTAAAACTTAAAATATTTTTGAAGGGTCACAATTCCGATATGCTGTTCTTTCAAGTTTCATAACTCTGTATTGCATTTTACTAAAGTTACGCCCCTTTTTAAGTCTTCAAATTTACATACAATCAAATATTAGACAATATGTTGTGTCCGCTCTATAAATCCTATACTAATGGAAGAACTTTCTTCAAACTTTACTCAAATTTTCACCTCAACAAGGTTATGTGCAGAATCCATGTCACCTTTGTGCGGGCTAAAGGTCAATGTCACACTTGAAAGTTAAAAATTGACTTAGAAAATGTTCTTAAATTTTAACATGTACTTGAATATTTCTGAAACTAGCACAGGCATTTGCTTGAAACTTAAAAGATATATGAGATGTGGCAAATAAGATATGCAGGTCAAGTTTCATTACTCTGTATAGCATTTTGACAAAGTTATGCCCCTTTGTAAGTCTTCAAATTTACATACAACCAATACTAGACAATACATTGTGTCTGCTCTATAAATTCTAATATTACTAATGGAAGGATTTTCTTCAAACTTTACTCAAATGTTCAACCAAACTGGGTGATGTGCAAAACCCATCTTACCCTTGTGCCAGATTAAGGTCAAGGCCACACTTGAAGGTCAAAAATTGACTTATAAATAAAATGTTTAATACATTGGGAAAATGAAAGGTTATTTGTAACTGTTTCGAACATGATTTGATAATATATATTTATACTATTACCTGTACAATTAGTTTTTTTTTTCACCAGAGATAATTTCTTTTTATGTATTTGTGCCACATAAGTAATTCCCTTAACCACCTTTCCAAGTGGTCTTCCGTCAAGGACATTGGTGGGGGTATGAATCGCATTCAGTGATAGTTCTAGTTACACCAGTTTACAGTTTAGAAGAATGTTTTTAAGTTCACAGTTTGGTTTATATTTTCCAGTTATTAATTTAATTGATATTCTCCAGTTTACATTTTCATTGAAACAGGTTGTATGACATTGTCACGTTGTCCTATTAAGCTATTTGACTTGATTCTTGCATATCAGACAGGATTATCTACTGTGTAACACCAGTGCTAGAAAAACCTGTCTCACGGTATATAAACAAAATCACTGTACCCTGTCTTGTGAGCCTTATAATTTAATGTTTACCATGTCTTGCGAGTAAAAGCACATGCTACTATAACGATCATTGTATCTTATTTGGGAGCCTATATATTTTAACTTGCACCTTCCTTTTGATAACAGAAAGTAGACTTGTTGATATTCTGTGCTGTCTTACACCCATGTAAGACAAGGCAAGTGTTTTAGAGGATGTCAATTCTCACACAGCTTTTTTGAATGAATTGCGTTTTTAGGATGACATCAGTGCCCTTATGAATCATACACTACTGGAAGAAAAAAAGTGCTATTAATGAAAATATTATATGCGCGAAAAAGAATCAAACACCGGCTGTTGTCATAGACAGGAATATCTAGCTCTTGGTAACTGTTTAGCGAAAACAGAGCCTCGTTACCACTGTTAACAGTTACCCTGAAGCTAGATATTCCGGTCTGTACCGGCAGCCGGTGTAAGATCCTAATATTCTTGACTTTTAATTGATTTATTCAAATTAACTTAATGCTCATGTCCCATGTAGTAGTGCTTTAGTCAGGGCATGTAAAAGAAACAAGGTCATCTCTTGAATGTCACGCATCTGCTGTTTTAAAAATTTATGAATTTAGTTCAGAATATCTGAATCACAAACATTTAAATATCAAGCAGATATTTAATTTACTTTTCTGTCAGTGTATATACTGTTCCAGTAGCATTTTTGTTGCCCTTATCTGTGACAAACCTGAACAGTTAGTCATTTACATTTGAGCCGTGTCACGACAAAACCAACATAGTGCGTTTGCGACCAGCATGGATCCAGACCAGCCTGCCCATCCGCGCAGTCTGATCAGGATCCATGCTGTTCGCTTACCAACTCTATTACAAGTAGAGAAACTGATAGCAAACAGCATGGATCCTGATCAGACTGCGCGGATGCACAGGCTGGTCTGGATCCATGCTGGTCGCAAACGCACTATGTTGGTTTTGTCGTGACACGGCTCAAATGTAAATAACTAACTGTTCAGGTTTGTCACAGATATGGGCAACAAAAATGCTACTGTAACAGTATATACACTGAAAGAAAAGTAAATTAAATATCTGCTTGATATTTAAATGTTTGTGATTCAGATAGTTTGAACTACATTCATAAATTCATATGGGAATGTTACCTTTTCATCTGATACAATTAGAAGACATACAGAAAATGAAATATTGATATTTCTATATAATATAATATTTAATTAAGTTCTCTGACGGGAGCAAGTCTCTCAAACGATGTGTCTAATTTTGGATGATATATAAATTTTATTTCCAAACAAGCTTGTAATAGGAATAAAAACTATTGATTTCTAGATTTATTTTACCCTGTATATATTCTTTGTATGGAATTGTGAAAATAACTGCACCTGGGACTTGCAGTTAAATTAATATTTTTGTAACCAAGATGTTTTTTACTGTCTTTGAAATAGTAATAATATGTCTTTTCTTACATCATTTATATAATACAAATAAATCAGATGACCATTTTTAGATTGTTATTTTTTGTTAAAAGAGAAGTATAAGCCAAAATTTAATTGAATTTTCAATGTTCTTATGTTACAGGGTCAGGACAATGTAGTGTTTACAGATGTTGAGCCAGACACATACAGAATTTATGTAAATATTGTTATTATTCCATTACATAATACCATTCCTAGTAAACAAGTCATGTTCTCATTTCTCTATATTATGTTGGTATTCTCAATTTTATGTGTTCTGTATTAAAGTATATCTTCTCTATCTGTTTTGCATTATTGTCATATAACCTACCGTAGTTCTCTACCTGTTTTGTATTATTGCCATATAACTGGTCTGTTTTGTTTTACGGTCAAATAACCATTTTTAGCTCGACCTATACGAAGTATATGGAGAGCTGTCCTACTCGCCCCGGCGTCGGCGTCCGCGTCCGCGTCCAGATTTTAGATTAAAGTTTTGGTGCAGTAAAATATTTTTCACTATAACTTTGTCATTTCTTAAGGTATCAACTTCAAACTTCAAATATATGTTCCTTATCATCAACCACATCTTATGTGACAAGGTTCATAACTCTAGCACCAATATTTTCATATTTATCTCCCCTTGAACTTAGAATTTTCCTTAAAAAATACTATTTTTTACTGTTACTTCTTTATTTCTTAAGAGATCAACCTCATACTTCAAATATATGTACCTTATCATCATCCCCATCTTATGTGACAAGGTTCATAACTCTAGCACCAATATTTTCAGATTTATCTCCCCTTGAACTTATAATTTTCCTCAAAAAGTACTATTTCTTACTGTTTCTTCTTTATTTCTTAAGGGATCAACCTCATACTTCAAATATATTTACGTTATCATCATCCCCATCTTATGTGACAAGGTTCATAACTCTAGCACCAATATTTTCAGATTTATCTCCCTTTGAACTTAGAATTTTCCATAAAAAATATTATTTTTTACTGTTACTTATTTATTTCTAAAGGGATCAACTTCATACTTCAAATATATTTACGTTATCATCATCCACATCTTATGTTACAAGGTTCATAACTCTAGCACCAATATTGCAAGAATTATCTCCCCATAAACTTAGATTTTTTTTACTAGAAAAATGTTACTTTTTATTATAACTTTTTTATTTTTAAAGATATCTACCTCAAACTTCAAATACTTATTCCTTATCATCAATTACATTTTATGTGACAATGTTCATAACTCTTTTGAAGCAATATTTACACATTTATCTCTCTTTGAACTTTGGATTTTCTTTAAGAAATATAATAACTTCTTTACTTTTTAAGGTATCTACTTCAAACTTTAAATATATATTTCTTATCATTACACAAATGTTGTGTGACAAGGTCCATAACTCTAGCATGACTATTTCTAGAATTATTCCCCTTGATCTTGGAATTTATGTTAACAAATATCATTTTTTTACTATAACTTAATACATAATTATACATAATTGATTTTTCTTTCATAGTTTTGTCCTCCTTACTGCGTCCAGTATTTTATTAGTCGAGCTTCGCTGTCTCCTGTGACAGCTCTTGTTCTGTTTGTTTTGGATTGCTTTCATAATGATAACCAGTTCTCTGTTTTTATTTTTTGCCATATAACTTGGTTGTTTTTGTTTTACTGCCATATAACCAGTTCTCTGTTTTGTATTAATACAAATAACCAGGTCTCTGCCTGTTTTTGTATTACTGTCATATAACCAGTTCTCTATCTGTTTTGTGTAAGTATCATATTTTTGGGGGGCTGGATTTTACGTCGCACCAACACAGTGTAAGACATATGGCGACTATCCAGCTTTAATGGTGGCAGAAGACCTCTTTCATAGGCTCTATGCATTATTTCAGGGACAAACAAGCCTCTGAGTAGAACCACTGACGTTTAGTAAGGTAGCTCGATAGCTTTCTTACATGAAAGAATCCGAAGACACTTGCATTAAGGCTCAAACCATCAGCAGTGAGAGGCAAGTGGTTTGAAGTCAACAACCTTAACCACGCGGCAACAGATGTTATATATACAGTTCTCTATCTGTTTTGTATTATTATATATAATATAATTGAGCCACGTCACGACAAAACCATCATAATGGGTTTGAGACCAGCATGCATCCAGACCAGCCAGCGCATCCGCGCAGTCTGATCAGGATCCATACTGTTCGCTATCAGTTTCTATACTTGTTATAGAGTTGGTAAGCGAACAGCATGGATCCTGATCAGATTGTGCGGATGCGCAGGCTAGTCTTGATCCATGCTGGTCGCAAACTCGTTATGTTGGTTTTGTCGTGACGAGGCTCATATTCTCTATTTGTTCTGTATTCTTGTTTAATGATTATGTTTAGCAGAAAAATTATTAAATAGTTTGCCAAACTTATTAAATTTTTATTTTTTCCATAAGCAATGATGCTTTCGTAAAATAAGTTTTGTGAAATACTTTTCGTATTTAGAGTTATTTAAAATAATTATATAACTCGAAATAATATATGTTTCAATTTCTGCTGCCCAAATAGACACACTTATATTGAAAAATATTTCAAAGCTATGATTACAATAATCAATTATTCATTATATATTTAAAGACAATTTAATGCATCTTCTATGAATTAAAAAGTGGAATAATTAATGTATTATAATTGTTTTTATATTATGAACAGGTACAAAAACTGCCAGATCCAGATAATCCTATGATTGTTACAAAACCTTTCAATGTCTCAGGTAAATATACTGTAATTTATTAACTCTAAACCACACTAAATAACTATATTACATGCACATGTCCGTCTTTCAATATGGATTAAATTATTCATCATTTACAGGGAAAAGATCTTTTGTAAAAAAAAATGTGTACCAAAACCTGCATGAATGCTGATCTATGACAAAAGTCTTAACCAATACCTGTATAAATATGACAAAAGTCTTTACCAATAACTACATAAATATGACAAAAAGCTGTACCAATAGCTACATAAATAACACAAAAGTCTGTATCAATGGCTGCATAAATATGACAAAAGTCTGTACCAATAGTTGCATAAATATGACAAAAAGCTGTAATGAATTTGACAAAAGTCTATACAAATATGACAAATGTCTGTACCAATGGCTGCATAAATATGACAAAAAGCTGTACCAATAGCTACATAAATAACACAAAAGTCTGTATCAATGGCTGCATAAATATGACAAAAGTCTGTATCAATGGCTGCATAAATATGACAAAAGTCTGTACCAATAGCTGCATAAATATGACATAAGTCTGTACCAATAGTTGCATAAATATGACAAAAGTTTTTAACAGTAAGCTGCATAAATATGACAAAAGTCTGTACCAATAGCTGCATAAATATGACAAAAGTCTTTAACAATAAGCTGCATAAATATGACAAAAGTCTGTACCAATAGTTGCATAAATATGACATAAGTCTATACCAATAGTTGCATAAATATGACATAAGTCTGTACCAATAGCTGCATAAATATGACAAAAGTCTGTACCAATAGCTGCATAAATATGACAAAAGTCTTTAACAGTAAGCTGCATAAATATGACAAAAGTCTGATACCAATAAGCTGAATAAATATGACAAAAGTCTGTACCAATAGCTGCATAAATATGACAAAAGTAAATATGACAAATGTCTGTACCAATGGCTGCATAAATATGACAAAAGTCTTTACCAATAGTTGCAAAAATATGACAAAAGTCTTTAACAGTAAGCTTCATAAATATGACAAAAGTCTGTACCAATAGTTGCATAAATATGACAAAAGTCTTAAACAGTAATCTGCATAAATATGACAAAAAAAAATATGACAAAAAGCTGTACCAATAGCTGCATAAATATGACAAAAGTCTGTACCAATAGTTGCATAAATATGACAAAAGTCTATACCAATAGTTGCATAAATATGACAAAAGTCTGTACCAATAGCTGCATAAATATGACAAAAGTCTTTAACAATAAGCTGCATAAATATGACAAAAGTCTGTACGGTACCAATAGCTGCATTAATATGACAAAAGTCTGTACAAATAGCTGCATAAATATGACAGCCTTAGCCTGGTGGCAGCCACTAAATCTACCCTTACAACCAGTGTAAATGAAGATCAGTTGACAGTACATCATTGCTTATCTACACTTTTTCTCAGTCAGTACAAATTTTAAAATGTTTCCTAAAAAAAATTAATGCTCTTTTGTCAAGATTAAATGATAAACAAGGCCACTTCAGATATTTAGCATAGTTCAAAGGATTAATTTATAAGAAAAAGTATTTATGACAACTGTGAACAATTCTAAGTTCAAAACAGGGCAAAGTCCATTATAAAAACTTAGTATGGCAAAGGTAGAAGGATCCCTGGTCAGCAAAAGCAAAAAGCTTTTAAGTGAGAGTGTCACAGAAAATAAGAAATGTTCTAAAATAGGATTATTCTGTAGACAGTAATCAAATAAAGGCACGCTATATTAACTTTATATTTTTCTTAATTCATTCCTTAAAAAGGAGAAAAACTCATTTGTAGAGAAAGTTAATAGAGATAATAGAATAAAAAGACATCCCAAAATATGTCTAAGTGAAAAATAATATCTGTCAATAGCCAGAAAGATGGCATTTCCAGAAATAAATATCTCCTTGGAAACCAATACCTTGTTTAATGGAGAAGAAAAGATGGTGAAACTGCCTAAGTGCTCCCGTCTGCTGTTGGTAGTGAGAGAGATTTGTTGATTATCTTACAATAGTTATATAGAGGATATGTGTTTACTTAATAACAGCTTTTTACAGGAGAGAAAAAAAGAAAAATGTTGATTATGAATTTAGAGCGTAATGTCATATAAATATTATAGGTCAATGACTAGAGGCATGTTGTCACTATTCTAAGACATCTCTGCACTCTTATCTTTAGAAAAAAGTTCCTTGCCTTAAAGTAATGTTTACTCTGGATCATTGACCTGCTGTAAACATGCCCTGCCTTGACTTTTTGAAAAAAAATCTGCTATGAACATCTTTTATCAACATGCCTTGCCTTGTAAAGCATTTGCAATGAACCTCTGTTATCAATATGCCCTGATTTGTATCTAACAATATATGCCATGAACTTCTGTAAGGAACATGCCCTGTTTTTGTTTCTGAAAAATATCTGCTGTACATCTGAAATGAGCATGCCCTGTCCTGTATTATTTAAACAATATCAGCACTGAACATCTTTGATAGCATGCCTTGCTTTTTTTACTGATAAATATCTAATTTGAACATCTGTTAAGAACATGCACTGTCTTGCTCCTAAAATATATCTGCTATGAACATATTTAGATTAGCATGCCCTGCCTTGTATTATTTACCATTCATCTGCTGTGGACATCTGTTACTAACATGCCCTGCTTTGTTTTAAAAAAAAAACCCTGCTGTGAATATCTGTACTGAACATGCCCTGCCTAGTTAAAAAAAAATCTGCTGTGAATATCTGTACTGAACATGCCCTGCCTTGTTTAAAAAATCTGCTGTGAATATCTGTACTGAACATGCCCTGCCTTGTTAAAAAATCTGCTGTGAATTTGTGTACTGAACATGCCCTGCCTTGTTAAAAAAATCTGCTGTGAATATCTGTACTGAACATGCCCTGCCTTTTTGAAAAAAATCTCCTGTGAACATCTGTACTGAACATGCCCTGCCTAATATTTATACAAATACCCGCTGTTTAAGTTGAGAACATGCCCTGCCTTAAATTAAAAAAATTCTGTTGCTGGTTAAAAAAAATCAACAGAATATCTAAATAGCCTATAAGTATTGGTAATATAATATTGATGATATTTTATTGCAGGTTTACCATTCACTAAGATACCATAAAAAAAAATCTTCTTTATATTTTACAAAGGGCATTACTAAATGTAGAGATACAGTTTCTAGAAAAGCTGATAGTTTTCAAGCTTTTACTGTAAAAATTCTGTTTTGTAGACACAGGTTCGCCTAAAATTTATCAAACATCACCAACTTTATTGTATATTTGGGAGACTTTGTGTCTAAGACAGTGAATAAAATTTTGTTTTGAGACACAAATTAATTTCTCAGCATCCAAAAACCAGTTCAATACCAAATATTTCCTTGGTGCTGGATATTAGGGAAATGTTGTTTGAAATATTAAATGAAGGGGTGTCTTCCTTATCGTGCAAAACTCGGAAATCACCATGTGACCTTTACAGTGTCAAAGTTACTTAAAGGGACTCCACTGAAGTATTTTGACATGACAAGACTGGAAATAATTATTCGAGATTAATGTTCAATTTGATGTTGGTCTGGACCAATAACTTATGCGCAAAATTTTAGATCATACGCTTAAACCTGTTTTCCTGGATGTGAAAAATTACCTAAATTGAAAAGCTTTGCAAAGCTTTCAATTTATTTCTAAGTATATTTCTTCATTATCTTTTATATAATTATTTTTCTTTTTAAATGCCCCAGCTGATCTATAAGAAATTCAAATTATTTTTTTTTAAACTTTTGGACCTGAGTGGAGTTCCTTTAACCACCAACAAACTCAATTTTTATGGTGCTGTAATTTAATTTTTCAGAACCACCATTGACAGAGAAGACAACAATAGCTGCATCTACTGTTGCTATAATTACAATGGCTTGTCTGTTGTTTGTTGCTGGTGTAACAACACTTTATTTCTGCTTGAAGAGGAAACGTAAGTCCCATTATGTCACCTTAGTGCAATAACTGTTTAACTTCTATTTAGTTTAGAAGGACTTGATCCGTTTTTGTACTTAGGTGACAGAATTTAATTATACATTTATGGACTATTTATGATTTTATGGTTGAACATAACTTTTTTAAGGAGATGGGAGAAAAATCTAATTACCCATTTATTGATAGTAAGTTATCATAATATGTCAGGTAAATTTTTATATATACATGTGTCACTGTGAGGGTGAGAAAAATGTGCAGCCTAACCGAGACTGGAGCCAGGGACCCTCGGAATACAGTACCGTGGCTCTACCCACTGAGCTATCCAGCAATGTATACATCATCTCCCCTAATAAATAGTGAACAGTTCTGAACCCAGACAGCTATATTGAAATTTGTCCTTGAATTTCACAGAGTTACAAAGCAATGTTAATTATACTCTGAGCTATAAGCAGTCGTGGGCCCCTGTTGGGCGCCAAATGTCACAGGGTGAGAAAAATGTGCAGCCTGATCGGGACTCGAACCCGGGACCCTCGGAATACCATACCGTGGCTCTACAGACTGAGCTATCCGGCCGCTTACACATCATCTTCCCTAAATAGCGAACAGTTCTATACCGTGACACATGTACATGTATATCCAAGCTGTCTCTTACATACCTTAGTCACATAACATTATAACATTCATTACTTTGACTATAAAATGAAAAACAAAAATATGTCACAAAAAAAACTTGTAATAAAGAGTTTGTTAAAGTATTATCTGTTTATCATAAGGTATTATTGTAGATGCTCCATTGTTTGTGAAATATTTACAAACCAATAACAAAATACCTGACTTGTTACTGGATAATATTATATTTTACTTCATTGTGTGAATAACGTAAAACAACACCTAACTTGTAATCTCATCTGTTTGTCTGCCTTCATCCTTCACCTTCATAAATCTTGTTTACTGACTTACTTACTGTATATTTTTATTCAGAAAGTCAAGAAATCTGGTTTTACTTCTTGTAATTTACACTTATTGTAGAAATGTAGGGCAAGTTATTGGTTTTGTCTATAGAGGGATAATGTTTATCTTAAAGTCGTTCAATATTAATACAGTCTAACTTATCTTAGTGACTGACTGTGTTTAAAGGCTCCCTGTCTACAACAACCTTACTTTAACTCACCCTTGAGATATTGTACAGAATAATCAACTCTTTAGCTGGTGAAATATGTGGTGATGTGTACTGAAAAAAATTAATATTAAGCCTTGGTTAATATTAATATGTCAGTACATAATTATCACATAATGTTCACCATCTCAAAAAGAAAGTGTATTTCTAGCTCGACTTTTCAATAAGAATAAGTAGAGCTATTCTAGTCACCCAGATGTCGGCGTAACCGCTTATGTTAAAGTTTGTGTACCACCGCAAATATTTTCGAAGTCCAATGACATGTATGGCTTTGAAACTTTGCAAACTTGTTCACCATCATGACCCCAATCTGAAGACTGGAGGAGGTAACTCTCTCAAGAATTTTGACAGAATTATGCCCCTTGTTGGACTTAGAATTGATGTTAAAGTTTGCATACCACCTCAGATATATAATCCTTTTTCGACATAGAATTTATGTTAAAGTTTGCATAGTACCACCTCATTCTCATATTCCATTGACATCTGGCTTTGAAACAAGTTGAAAGTGTATACTTTTCTTTGAGACATAATAGGACTCTTTTCAAGGCCTATAACTGTAACATGGATTTGAAAAAAAAAATGGCCCTTTAATGTGAACATAGAAATTTTTACCTTAACAAGGCTTTTTTACTATCAAGCACTAAGAATAGTTGAGCGTGCTGTCCTACCAACAGCTCTTGTTATCCCCCGCCGAAAAGGCGGCGGGGGATATAGAAATAGTCTCCGTCTGTCCGTCTGTCCTTCCGTCCGTCCGTCCGTCCTTCCTTCTGTCCAACATTTTTGTCCAGAGCATATCTCAAAAAGTATTTGAGATATCAACTTGAAACTTCATAGGTGGATAGACCTCATTGAGGAGGAGTGCAGTGCACACGAATGAGAACTCTACCTTTCATAATTTTTGAGTTATCGCCCTTTGTTATTTTTCATACTTAATTTTCACCTGTGTGGAGCATAACTCAAAAAGTATTTGAGATATCAACATGAAATGTCATAGGTGGATAGATCTTATTGAGGAGGAATGCTGTGCGCAAGAATGATAACTCTTTGCTATATAATTGTCCCCCGCCTTTTCGAAGAAAAAAGGGGGATATAGAAATAGGCTCCGTCCGTCTGTCCGTCCGTCCGTCTGTGCGTCCGTCCGTCCGTCACACTTTCGTGTCCGGTCCATTACTTTGTCATTTATGAAAGGAATTTGAAATAACTTGGCACAAATGTTTATTATAATAAGACGATGTGTCATGCGCAACAACCAGACCGCTACCTCCAGGGTCAAGGTCGCACTTGCTCATTCAAGGTCAACATTGCCTATTTGAGGGTATATGTCGTGTCCGGTCCATAACTTTCTTATCTATGAAGGGATTTTGTAAATACTTGCCATAATTGTTCACAATAATCAGACGATGTGTCAAGCGCAAAAACCAGTCACCTACCTTCAAGGTCAAGGTCACACTTGGAGGTCAAATATAAACATAGTCTGTTACAGGGTATATTTCGTGTCCTGTCCATAACTTTGTCATTTATCAAAGGAGTTTGAAATTACATGGCACAAATGTTTGTTATAATAAGACGATGTGTCATGTGCAACAACCAGATCCGTTCCTTCAGGGTCAAGGTCGTACTTGCTCATTCAAGTTAACATTGTCTATTTGAGGGTATATGTCGTGTCCGGTCCATAACTTTATTATCTATGAAGGGATTTTGAAAATACTTGCCATAATTGTTCACAATAATCAGACGATGTGTCATGCGCAAAAACCAGTTGCCTACCTTCAAGGTTAAGGTCACACTTGAAGGTCAAATATTAACATAGTCTGTTACAGGGTATATTTCGTGTCCGGTCCATAACTTTGTCATTTATCAAAGAAATTTAAAATAACTTGGCACAAATGTTTGTTATAATAAGAAGATGTGTCATGAGCAACAACCAGATCCCTACCTCCAGGGTCAAGGTCGTACTTGCTTATTCAAGGTCAACATTGTCTATTTGAGGATATATGTCCTGTCCGGTCCATAACTTTCTTATCTATGAAGGAATTTTGTAAATACTTGCCATAATTGTTCACAATAATCAGATGATGTGTCCTGCGCAAAAACCGGTCACCTACCTCCAAGGTCAAGGTCACACTTTGAGGTCAAATACTTACATAGTCTGTTACAGGGTATATTTTGTGTCCGGTCCATAACTTTTTCATAGTTCAAAGGATTTTGAAAATACTTCGCACAAATAGTCACCATAATAGGAGGATGTGTCATGCGCAACACCTGCATCCCTACCTCCAAGGTCAAGGTCACACTTAGCGGTCAAAAATTAACATAGTCTATTATAGGGTATATTTTGTGTTGAATCTAGAACTTCTTCATAGTTCAAGGGATTTTGAAATAGCTTGGCACAAATAGTCACAATAATAAGACGATATGTCAAGTACAACACCTGCACCCCTACCTCTGAGGTCAAGGTCACACTTAGAGGTCAAAGGTTAACAGAGTCTGTTATTTGGTATATTTTGTGTCCCGTCCATTACTTCTTCATAGATTAAGGGATTTTGAAAATACTTGGCTCAAATAGTCACAATGATTAGATGATATGTCATGCGTAACATCTGTGTCCCTACCTCCAAGGTCAAGGTCACACTTAGAGGTCAAAGATTTACATAGTCTGTTATTTGGTATATTTTGTGTCCAATCTATAACTTCTTTATAGTTCAATGTATTTTGAAAATACTTGGCACAAATAGTCTCAATAATAAGACGTTATGTCATGCACAACACCTGCTCCCCTACCTCCAAGGTCAAGGTCACACTTAGAGGTCAAAGCTTAACATGATAGATTTTTAAATTCCGTGTTTCATTTTAATTTTTTAACAAATTTATTGTTACATTTGCAGATCTAGCATTGATCATAATTTTGGACTGAATGTCCTGAGATCCATACCTCTGAATATAAATCTTTTAAAATAGCACAATTTTATGCTTCATATAAAACTTCCCGAGGCGGGGGACGTTGGTAACTCTGTTACAAATTCTTGTTTTTGAGTGATTGCCCTTTGTTCTTTTTCATACTATTTTGTCCGGAGCTTATCTCAAAAAGTATTTGAGGTATCAACTTGAAACTTCATAGGTGGATGGATCTCATTGAGGAGGAGTGCAGTGCACAAGAATGATAACTCTTCCCTGCATAATTTTTGAGTTATTGCCCTTTGTTATTTTTCATACTTAATTTTTCACCTGAGTGGAGCATAACTCAAAAGTGTTTGAGATGTCAACATGAAATGTCATTGGTGGATAGATCTTATTGAGGAGGAATGCTGTGTGCAAGAATGATAACTCTTGCCTATATAATTTTTGAGTTATTGCCCTTTGTTCTTTTTCATACTATTTTGTCCGGAGCTTATCTCAAAAAGTATTTGAGGTATCAACTTGAAACTTCATAGGTGGATAGATTTTACTGTGGAGGGGTGCAGCACACAAGATTGATAACCTTCCCTGCATTATTTTTCAGTTATTGCCCTTTGTTATTTTCAGCCATCAGTATTCACATAGGTTTCAAACCTGTAATCACTTCAGCCATAAGTTTTCATTACCAAAAGACCTCTTAAAATTGAATTATTCTGCTCTACTACATATACATTCTTCCAATGAGCAAACCCATTCGGCGGGGGATGGCCATGTTGACATGGCTCTTGTTTATTACATAATTTATAGATAACTTGTATAATCTTATCTACAATCTTCCTCCTAGTAAATAAATTCAGTGAATGTTGAATCTTTGAATATTTATTTCTTAGGTTGTCAATGTTCCCCTATGAACTGGAAGATTTGTAATTGTGCCTCCTATCAAAGAACACCGCAGAGTGCTCCTAACAATAGAGCAGAAGATGAAGAAAACAGTAAGTGCATTTTACAATTATTATCAATTTACCAATTAGTATTAGTGATCATTTATATCAAAGGAAAAAATGCTGAACACTTTAGTTTGGCTTTCAAATGATCTTATTTAGCAGTTTTAGATGAAATTTGGTATCAATAACCATAATTCTTTGTTAAACAGGTTTTGATTCAGAATTTGTAAAAACAATATTCACACACTTACAATCACCTTGTTGATCAATCAAGTATGACCTTGAAATGGCCTTGACCTTAAAGGTCAAATTATTGAATTTAGCTGAATTGGCCGCTTTGTTTCTAATGGATGTATTTAATTCATTCTTTGACATATTTTTTTTTGTAAATACCTTTCAGCACAAACTGAACATGACCTTGATAATTATATGACCTTGGCCTTTATGTTAAAATTACTGAGTTTTGCAAAAATTGACCATAACTTTGTATTCATGGGCAGATTTTATCCAAACTTGAACAAAACAACAATTAGAATTAAAAAAATAAAAAACATGTTGAGCAATTAAAGTATGGCCTTCACCATAAAATGACCTTGACCCATGTAGTCAAATTATTGAATTTTGCTAAAATAAGCTTTGTTTGTATTTGATGTATTGTACTCATTTGGACATATCAACCTTTTGAAAATACTTTAAAGTTAAACTGAACTTGACATATTTATGACCTTTCACTTTATGGTAAATTTTTGAAAATGGCTTAACTTGGCCATAACTATGTCATAAATTGTCAAATTTAGCAATTCAGATATGACCTTGATTTTAAATGTACACCGTAGCCTCGATAAATCGCTCTTCGTTATAACGCTAATCTCAGTATAGCGCTCATAGACCTTGGCTCCCAAAAAAAAAAAGGAAAAAAAAAAAAGAAAAAAATTCATGTAGATTTAGATTCATATCGCACCATATCCGCTATAACGCTTGTTCAATTTGACAGTCAAGTACTATAAACAATGTAATTAGGACATTTATGAGCGCTAAGGTGTGAAAATCATGCAGAGGTTAGCGTTTATCCGCTCTTTTGTTGTTTTACCTATCGATCAGTCAGGCATCATATTGTTTCCAAAATCTCAAATTTATATTATATGTGACATGGACAGCCGGTGGTGTGTATAGATAAACTAAAATTCACACACATATCTGTGACATGCAAACCTCGCTGAATTAAATAACCCACACAAGCCCAAAATCAATTTAAAATCCTGCACTGTATATAGAACGGCCCAGACAGTGGTTTTGAGACATTGGACCCCAACATGAGCGTTATAATGAGGCTGTAGTGTACTTCTAGGCCAAAATGTCACAATTATGACAAATTTGATTCTTACTTAGTCAAATTGAGCAATAAAGTATTACCTTAACTTTTTAATGACCTTTACCCTGAAAGTCAAATTATTGAAGTTCTATAAAAATTTGCCATAACTTTGTTATTAATGAACAGGTTTGATTTAAAGCTAGATAAACAATAGTAGGACATGAACACCTTGACCAGTAAATGTTTTCACCCTCAAGGTCATATATGAACATTCATATAAATTCTGTAGAATCTTGTAATCTATGTACAGATTTGAATAAACATTATCTTACTGCCTGAAATGAGGATGATTTTAACCTGTTTAAGTTCAAAAATGCATTATATGATTTAGCATTGCTACAGCAGTATGAATAAAGTATATCAATAGAATTAGTAAATTTAGTTACATTCTCTAGGTCTTACATTTCCATTTTATTCCAAAACCTAGTGAGTTATCAAACAAAAGCGGGTGTGGGGAACAGAAAAGGTCAATCCTTCATCAGTGAAAAGTCGTTTTGAAGTAAATCCTCAGATAATGTCTGACATCCATCATTATTTACAGACATAGAAGTCTTAAACATTATTAAAAAAATATAATTTATGAACAAAACCATGTAGGAAAGTTGCATACCATGTAGAAAACAGGCAGTTTTAACTTTTTTGCGAGACATGATGATGGGCTTCTTTAGCTTTTTGTTGTCATTGTCATAATTCAAAATCTTTAATGTAGCCTATTATTCAAACCTTTTAAAAGATATAAAGGCTACATATTTGGAGTTATGTCCCTTTTTAGCTTGACTTTTTCAAAAGAACAATTCAATGTATTGCAAGTCATGTTGTCCGAGTTGCCGATGGAAAAGTTTAACAGTTGCCATTATTTTTTTTATTTCTGAATGAATTGTCTTCATACTTGGACACTTTAAAACCCTTTTGGTCAAATGTTTGAAATTTGCTTGATGTTTGCTGTTATCGGCTATAACTATGATATTTATTAATTATCTTCATTCTTGGACATAATACTTCTTTTGACATGACCTTCAAAGAGGCTGTATTGATTCTGACCTTCACTTGAAAATGATGTTGACCTTTGAGGTCAAATTATTGTAATTTCACAGTTTTTTGCTATCATTGGCAATAAGATTGTAAATGATAAATGTATTATCTTCATATTTGTGCACAACAATCCTTGAGACAAGGCATGGAAGAAGATTTAATTAAACTTGACCTTGACCTTAATTTGACGTTGACACTTAAGGTCAAATAAGTAAAAGTTTCTGTAACTTTGTTATTTATTTTGAACACTTGACAAAACGCATAAGTTGAATAATTTAAATATGACCTTAACATTATTTGACCTTGACCATTGTTATTTATTTACAGATTTGAGTTGTATTGTGACAAAAGAACACAGTCATATGACAAAACTGACATGTTGAATTATTTTGATATGAACTTGACATTCGCTAAACTGGCATATTTTTGTTCTTTACTTACAGACGACAAAAGAACATATATGACAAAATGGACATGTTGAATTATTCTCCTGACCGCCAAGGACATATTATTGAAATTTGCTGAAATAGTCATGGCTTTGATATTAATTTATGGATTTGATTCATTCTTTGATAAAAGAACACATATGACAAATCTGCCATGATGATTTATTCAAAATCTGACCTTGACCTTTAATTGATTTTGACTGTCAATGTCAAATATGAAATTGGATTTTTATTTGTTACAAAAAAAAATATGTTAAATATTATAATATTCCCACTGTGACTTCAGAAATAAGAAAAAGTTGAGCAGCAGCCCCCCCCCCCCCTTCCCTCCCCTAGGCGATGACTCTTGTTATCTTGTTAACTTTGTCAAAATTGGTTATTTATAGTCATTGCCTTTAATAGATGAGCAATTACACTGCATGCAGTGGTCTTGTTAAAAGATGTTCTTTTGCGTAAGAACTTGATTTTTGCAGCAATGAAGTAAAATAAGCATTACAAACAAATTATTACAGCATGTTCATAATGTTCTGTTCTGTGTTTGTTCTCTTGGTGTCTTATGACAAAGGGGCTATTTTACATACTAATAAGATATATTAAGAACTTGCTGGATATTTTTTCACCTGATACCAATATTTTAATACATTTGATTATATTTTCTAGATGTGTTTACTCCACTAACAAATATGTAACAATTATTTGGAGGTGAGACACTATTTCGTAAAAAAATAACAAACACCATAATGTTTCTGCTGTACTAATACAATGGATACAAAAACTTTACAGTGCAATCTTGACAGAAGAGCCCTCTGTAGAACAATTTTAATTACCAGTTTACATCATCAATTTACAATTCTTCCTAAAAGAATAAGACTTCACAATAAATATGACATCTCTAGGGCAACACCTTTCAGCATTTTAGTATCAAGTAAATTAACACCTCGTAACTTAATATGAGTCGTGTCATGACAAAACCAACATGGTGCGTTTGAGACCAGCATGGATCCAGACCAGCCTGCGCATCCATGCTGTTCGCTTACATACCCTATTACAAGTAGAGAAACTGATAACCAACAGCATGGATCTTGATGAGACTGCGCGGATGCTCAGGCTGGTCTGGATCCATGCTGGTCGCAAACGCATTATGTTGGTTTTGTTGTGACGTGGCTCATATTGTCTCTATAGAGAAATATCCATCACCAACAACCACATTTTGGTTTCCTAATGGTATTGCTGTGTAGAGGTTGTACTGTATCTGTATTCTACCAATTTTTAGTGCATTGTTGTAGAATAATTCATGATTTGAGTTCAAATGCGCAGAAATATGATCAAGAAGGCCAATAGGCCTGAGTGATTAATAACAAAGCATTTTAACGATAAACCATGTATTATTTTTGTAACTAACTAAACTAAACTAATTGATACCTAATTTTGCTTTAGTTTACAACTTAATCATTCATGAAAACTCTGATGAGCTTGCTACATATTTAGCTCACTGGAGCACACAACTGTGCCATTGTGATACCCTAATAACTACTGCTTCTGTTGTCTTTCAGTTGTCATTAACTTTTTACTTGTTACTTCAACATCTCCCCCTAAATGCATGGCCAATAGTGATAAAACTATACAGGAATTATTCTAAGGTTGTCTTTTGTTAATATTGCTCACACGGTATTGGTCTGCTGAACAAGATGGCTGCCACTCTGATCTGAAAATAGAAATTCCTTTAAATAAGATCTCCTCAATTACTTGATAGATTTTAAAGAAACTGTAAAGCAATAATCATTTGGTAGTCCTTTACAGAAAAAATTGTTCAAAATTAATGGTTCTGGTCTGTTGAACAAGGAATATCCTGGTAATTAAATCTTGTTCATATAGACCATGTCTTTTGGTGAGCGATTAAGGCCCATAATGGCCCTTTGTTAAATAGGTAAAGAAACAATGATGACAATATTGTTTTCTTCATTAATAAAATTGATTTATATATATTTTTTTTTTTGGGGGGGGGAGGGGGGGATTTGGCTGGTTTTGTCACACCATCATAGTATAGGTCATATGGCTAAAATCTTTCCAGCTTTACTGGTAGAGGAAGACCTTAGGACTGGTGCCCCTCTCTACATTATTTTAGGTACAAATGGGCACTTGAGTAAAACCACCAATGATCTTTAAGCTAGCTGGATAACTTTCTCACATGTAAAATCCAGTAAATGCTTGCTCGCAGTGGCTCAAACCTACAGCTGTGGGAGGCAAGTCATTTCAAGTCAACGACCTTAACCACTGGGCCTGGAGGGGCGCCCCTTCTTTTATATTCTTTAAAATTTAATAATTTTAATCACTTTTTCCACTTTCATCTTGCTTTTAAGAGTGTACCAGTTGAGTTACTGCATTAAAAGTACAATAAAATCAGTTTGTATCCTTAGTGCAGTTTTAAAACCTGAGTGCAATCTGGTCAGACATGAGACTACTAAATTAACTGGTCAAAATTCACAGCATGGTAAACTTATTACACAAATTGAGTAGGGCAATTAAGGGTAAAAGATTGTAAATTAAGATCTTTGAAGAATGATTGTTAAAGTACACATGTCATGTCTAGATCATTGTTCTAATTTTTCAACTAAAGTACTGGGTTAATGACATATATATTTTTTTTTTCACAGGAAATTAATTTTGTTCATTTTAATGAGAAATTTAGATTTTTTTATTTCTTTAAGGAACTTTATTCATAGTATTCTATATAATAGGAATCAGGTTTCAGTAAGAATCAAGAAAAAAAACAACATTGGTTGCATAAGTTTTTGAGATTTTTAAAATTTATTGAGTTCCTATGATTATAACATTGCTGTTTTCTTTTTTGTTGGTGTTTCATAGAGTATTTAATGGCCTGATATTAAGCTTAATTCTGAACAGAAAAAACATGTACTAATAGCTGTCATAAGGATGGTTCAGACATAGAATCATGACTATATATATATATATATATGTAAAGCTGTTTATTCACAAGGGGAGAAAACTTCTGTAGAGTAGCTGTGTGAAATATTGGGTGTACACAAACTGTAACTGTATCATTGTGATGCCACTTGCCTATGCCAGATTATAATGCTGTATATTACTCAATGGCTCAAGTCTAAGTTAACTACACACACTTTGCCATTTTCCTTCATCAAAATAGAAAGATTTACCGATTTATTAAGTCTTTAATCATCACATTTTAGTGGTTTCATAGCATTTGGTGAAATCAATCTTTGCCAGTAGGCGGGGTCAATATTTGCCTTGGTCACTTAAGAAGCAATTTTCCTGTTTATTACTTAACAGTCCACTGCCCTGCATAGTCCTGGCATACTAGAATGACTGATATTGAATGAATACAAAGCCTAAGAATAATAATTATGGCTTTAAATCTTAATACTTCATTACTGCATATTATGTCAACTTCAATTTAATTTTGATTTACGGGACAAAAAATCCTCTCTGGGACACTTCGTTGACCATTACAAGATTAAATTTGGGACAATCCCAGATATCCAGGATATTATGCCTTGAATGAGTACAGCAAGCCTGAACCTATTTGCTGTCAAAAGTATACCATTGTACCATAAAATCTTTAGCCAAAAAAAATATGATAATACTAGCAAATTAAGTCAATGTATGAATCATAATCATCATCTGAATATCCTCTCTCTTTTCAGGTTCCATGTTGGAAATCTTACCCGTGTATTATGATGAGTCAGAGAGTTTTACGTCTGCTGTTAAAGAAGTGTGTTCGTACCTGAATAAGTGGGCAAAATGTCGCATAAATCATAACTGGTTGTCCAGTTTCTATGACAACCCTGAACTATCCTTTAAAGAAAGTTACCCAAATGGTACACTTCTGATTTTTCTTTCATCCAAGATGTGGACTTTCTTAAACAGTCATCAACATTCTACAGACTTGCAGACGAAGATATTTAAAAATGTTTTGATGGAAAGTAGCGGGAAGGAGTTCCGTAAGATGATAGTCAGTTTTCACCCATTGCCTGGATTGAAGGAACGTTTTCACTGCATAAAAATATATAGAATAAGGAAGCAGATAGTAGGTCATAATGATAACAGATTTGATATAAACACTGAAGATTTGTATCAGATGTTAAAAGAAATCAATGGAGATGACGAAGAGGTGAAGCAGGGCTGGTCTGGGTATGAGCAAATCCTTTCACTTTTCAATGCCACAAAATTCATACCAGAAAATGATTTAGATTTTGGGAGGCATTCATTTCTAAATGGCGAGCGTATTATTAATCAGAAGAACATACAAAACAATTAGACACACTCGCATGTGGGCGGAGTCTCAGCAGAATAGAGTGTGCAACACCTACAGTCAGAATGGTTACACCCCTGATACAGGATTTCATCATATAGTAGATGAACTGGGACATGACAAGATTGGTACAAACGAGATTGATATAGATAGTGCTAGTGTTTGCCAAGATGGATATTACCCAATGACTAGACACTTTGATCATGTGATAGAAAATCACATTGGTTATTGGTCGCCACCAGAAGAAGACTCAGAAAGTGTTACACAGTCTGTGATTGGTCAAAAACAAATGGAGATTTATCAGAAGTATAAGGCAAACATGTGACAAGTGTTGTTGATCAGCATTATTTTAGAGGTCTTGCTTCAAATCAGTGTTACCCACATGATTTCCTTGAATATTGTTAAATTGTCACCTTTGTGCAGTAAATGGTTAATTGACCTGTTAAATTTAGAAGGACTTAACTCGTTAATGCACTAAAGTGATGAATGTTCTTTGGTAATATATCAATGTTGATACATATTCATTATGTACATGTAGAGAAAACCTTTTTGTAAGTGTTCACTATTTTTTTGTCCTGAATTTTTCAAACAGGATCATTTAGAATTATTTAAGACGACCAATTAACAATGACAACTATATTGTAATGTGGTGTTTAGAAAAAAAATGGCTGTAACTGATTATTCTCATCGATATACTGTTAACTGTTTGTTATGTGCTCAAAATGTTTTTTGTGCCTTTATGTTTTACTGCCATAAAGTGTTCTTGTTATTTCAGTTGTATAATGATAGTCAGAAACTTGTGACATTGGGTGAAGATCATTTTAATCATAAACTTACCTTTAGAACAGGTGACAGCACTGTAGAGTTGCCCATGGCAACACTATCATAAGGTCATCTCATCCTGCACATCTTTCTGTAAAGTCCCAGTAGACTTAAAACTGTTGGCTTTTTATTAAAGTTTTAACATTTTGATATTGAAATTGCTTATAATGTCATTATAGTCACTGGTTAGTTATCCAGGAAAGCCTGTTCGATGAAATGACCGATAAATGACCAAAACATGAATTAAAAACAACATACATATCAAACAATCAAACAAACATTCAATTCAAAGCAGGGCAAATTTGCTATGTAAAGGTGTAATAAGAAAAAAATTATTTAAGAACTGAAAGTCCTATTTCTATGATCAATTTTATTGAACTGTTATAGCAGAAAAATACAGATACCACATGTATGCAAATTACATTTCATATTTTTTAACTGGTATGATATACCTGCTATGTTTTTTAAATTATAAACTGTCCTGTCTCAATTGAAGATAGTGAGAGTAATTTAAGCCAACAATATAAAGTCTTACAGGGGGGCGTGGGTGAGGAAGCTGGTCCGGCACAGGTTATTCGTAAGTGCTGCATGTGCTCAAAGAGTGTACTAAGATATTTGTCACAGATACTGTAATTTGACTGTACGATGCCTGTATTTACACTTTAATTGCTCATCATCCTCAATCAATGAATTTATCATAAAATGAAAAACTTTTTGTGCTGTGTGGCAGCTGTTCAAAGGACAGCCTCGTACTTTATCCCGTTGTTCTTATATTGTTCTGCTTTGTCAGAATTACTGATCCTAATACTTCAAGACTGTTCCCAGGTAATGTGAAATGTGTTGTATTTTTTCTCTGGTGAACAGACTCGGTCAAACTAAGTCTGTCATTTGCTCCCATTTCTTTTTTTTCAGTCTCAAGGATTGTAACCTACTTTGTAATCAAACTAAAATAAATTCTGTATAAACTAAGGAAATTCGCTACCTCTAGAAATTTAATCTGTTTCGTACAAAATTAATACTCAAGTATCAGTAATGTAAAAGGTCACCTGTTTTAAGCACATTTTGTTAATTGATCTTTCAATGTCAAACAAATGCTCTGTATAATTATCATTTCTAATGACTTAGTTATATCAAAATCTTTTTTTAACTGTCTGAAATGGTATGGTACTGTTCACACACTGATTTATGAATCACCTCTTCATTGTAAAAATAATTACATTTTATATCTGTTATATGTGTGTTAATCATGTGTCTGTCTTGTGACATTCCATGTGTTGATCATAATGATTTTAATTTTATATTTTAATTGCTTACTTCATTATTGCTTTGATCAATTCTGAGCTGTTTGACCAAACATAATTTATCATGCTTTAAGTTTTGATCCTGAAATCTCTTAGGTCTGTTATTATTATACCCAAATTCAAAGCAAAGCTGTAGGGAGATGGACAATCAGTGCTTTATAGGAAAATTCATGAAGAGCATTTCAAATAATGACTCATATACACTACATGTATGCCTGTTTGCTTTTTTTTGCAGAAAACTATAAAATTTTAACATTTTGGTTAGTTTGGACATAATGTGTGCCTCTTGTTGCATTATTATGCCGGTGAAGATATCAAATATGTGTTTATTTTGTTAGTTTATATTAAAATTTTATGCTCAGCATTTCACAAAAATGCCAAAAACTTGTCTGTTTGCTCTATTTGCAGAAAATTATAAAAATTGAACAGGTTAGTTTGGACATTATTAACATGTAATGATGAAGATATTGCAACCAATTCAACATTTAACAAAAGAAAAAAAATCAGAAATTTTAAGATTTAATTGCTATGGTAAACAGAAACTGTTGTCAACTCGACTAATTGCATAAAAGATCAAAAGAGGCCTTTGAAACAAATCTTTTCCCCAAAATGAATTTTAATTTTTTGTTACAAACAGTATTTTTGTTTGTTTGCCAAACTTAACGTTGATTTTATATATCATATGTTAAATTGTTGATGTTTTTACAGATATTTTATCATTGATGTTACATGTATATATAAGTTGTTATATCAAGTGATTTTTAGTAAAATTCTTAATTAATTAGATAGATTTATAATGATGGTCCTCGTGGGTTACTGCAAAACTTAAATTTTTTGGCAAATTATAAATAGAAATAAAAAGGACTTACTTTTGTTGATTTATTTTACTGATGTTAACTGGTGCATCTTTACTTTTAAAGTACATTTTTGTGATCAAAGTTTGTAAGTTGACAATTTAGAACAGTAACATCTGGATTAATCAGTAAAATATTTATAGATGGCGCCACATTATGGCAAAAATAACACATGTTTGGATTACTTTGGTAATATTAATAATGCAGTACCAGGTGGAACTTGTGTATAGTTAGATTATATAGTTATTTTAGTAATCATCAAGAAAAAATTGTTATCATGTATGTTCTATGTTGTTGTTTTTTTATAGAAAAAAATCAGTAGAATTGATATTGTTTTGATATTTGCACTTGTAAATTTTAGATACTCAAAATTCTGAATTAATTTTTTATGTTGATTACTCTATTGATTATGTTAATTACTAGACACTAATTATTTTTCTCCACAATAACAGTATTCTGTATAATTTTATAAGTACAAAATTTGACTAGAAGCAAATTTCCCTGTGAGATTTTACAATTGTTTAAGCATTACAATTTATTCAATGATTTCTTAAGTTTTAAAGGAAAAAACAAGATAATTGCAGTTTTGTTAACAATTAATCTTTTAGGGATATTTTTAGAGCATATTGACCTAGAATTTGTATTAAACTTGAGTAGATTTGTTTGTCTAGGCTAGGATCTCATAAGTAGTTAAAGTGGAGAGTGTGATTTGTCTTTCAGTATTTCTACGACAGCCAAATACATTAGTTCTAGATTGCAATACTCACTTTGACATACCTCGTTGAATTCAAATGATATATTTCAACTATAATATATAACTATAACTTCATTCTGGATCGCTCATGGCAACAGCATCCCTGCCGTCTAATCATGCTTTGTACTGTTCTCTATTCAGTCAGTACTTACTTTGAAATTTTCCCTAAAAATGATGAATGGTTTTGTACAGGTTGAAAGATGGACATGCAACGAATTTGGTTTAAAATATCCAGCATAACACGGGTTAAAGACAGTCTGAAATTTAAATATACGTAGCTCAAGCTATATTTATAAAATGCCGTGTAAAGTTATGCCATGACAATCCTGAAAGCCATATTTTGCCAATCATTACAGTCATACAATATCTTGATAATTTCTCTCTACTTTATAATTTACTTTGCATGAAAGATAAATAATTATATATATGACCAAATGAAATTTGATATATACATATAAATATGTATGGGAAATTACCTGTAACATTCAAGTTACAAAAACGAGTGGGGCAGACTTTATTTTTTTTTTTTTTTTTTTTTGGCAGATTTATATTTTATTCGTATCATTTTCCAATATAAAATGTTAGTCAATCACAATTATAACAGTCAATCTTTTAAAATATATAGTCAATTCAGCCCAACAATGAAAAATTAACTTAATGTGCCATTTTAAGTGTTGAGATAATTTTTATATAAAAGATAAATACATGTACATGTAGACATTCCTATGATGAGATACTGGTAAAAGCTTCTTATCTTTGAGTATGTGACAACGATTTTTTTTATTCAAGAATTAAGATTTACTCGATATCTGTTGCTTTAGATTTCACTTTTCTAATAAATGTGCATGCATTGTTATTTTCTTGAAACATTTTTGTCCCTATTTTTCTATATGTATACTAACTTTTGGTTCTAATGCTGTATAAATATAATTTTTATAAATTGAACAAAGTGTGACAACAATCAAGATTACTGCATTAACCGGTGATTTTTTATATAGATCTAGATTATTTCATGTAATAACTGTACTTTTACTATAATTGTTTATAGATTTTTATGACAGTTATATTTTTACCAAAGTTTTATAGAATTTGTAACCAGTTGTTTTGCGATGACATATATTTTTAATTAAATATGTGATTTTGTACTTTCCCTTAACCAATGCTTGAACCATAAGTGAGTTTAACCTTTGTCAGCAGTAAAGAGTGGCACTGTGCAGTCTGACATGGCTCTACTGTAGCTCAATGTTTGTATTTTGATATTGAAATCCCCTAATTTTCAAATGGAATGTTCCAAATTCAAGTCAGGGCTGTTTTATGACATGAATTCAGCAGGTCGAGAGTAAAAGGCTAGTCCAAGTTATATAACACATTCTGCCGTTGTTTCAAAATTAAAAATTTTAACAGTTTATGTTAAATGTTGAATTCTGCTTAAAAGCCATTGCTAGTGGATGTGGACGGTAGCTAGCAGTTACCAGTACCGTCCATGAACAGACTCAATGATGACAAACCAAGCCTGCATCATTTTCAATTTTGCAGTGTCAGGCTATCTTTAGTGATTCTGATAGTACATTTTAACTCTTGACACATTTTCAATGGAAAGATCTCGAAACTATGATACAAATATATAGAGGATATTCAAGTTTTTTTTCTATAAAAACTGGATTTATTTTCATCGATTGGTATGAAAATAAATACTTCAGGAGTGGCCACGAGTGAAATATGATAATTTTCATACCACAAGATGAAAATAAATCCTGTATTTATCTTATAGAAAAGACTTGAATTTTCTGTTTTATTAAATACATTTCTTTCTTGTTTGGCATTACTATTTTTTAAAGACTTTCCCTTAAATTTTGTGTATTGACTAAATTTAGAAGAAAGTATACTGGCAAGACACCATTGTAATCACAAAAAAATATATTTCACTGCAGTGAAAAATAAACTTTTACAGTGAAAATACGGAGAATGAAAATTCATCAGCATCTCTCAATATTTATTTTAGAAGTGTATAATAAAAGAAAGTATTGTAATAAAAGAAAGTATATACATTTTTTTTCTCTATGCTAAATACAAGCATATTTGTTGGAAAACAAATCCTGTAGTCAACATAATGTGTATCTGATCATACTGTATCATATATTAATTGTGGAAGGAATTAAAACATCCTTGATTATTCTGAATACATGTATTTAAGAACTATAAAAAAATGATTGAAATATGAGAAATATATCAATGGTTGCCATGGCAATGAATTGGTTATAGACTGAGATGAATGTTTTCCATGGAAAATAAAGTATAATATTTAATATTTCTATATAGGTTTTATTATGAAATTTTAGTATAGTTATAATGATTTGATACATCTTCAACTTTGTTATTATCACTCGCCTTTTGATTTAAAAGTGACATGCCTTTAACATTAGATTTGTGCAAGTTTTGATGAAAAGTATAGAAAGTGTTCTAAATAAAACAAAAAACTTTGATATCAGGTGTTGGAGTAGTAGCCTAAGAAAGTCTATAAGGTTTATAAATGTTTCTGAATGTACAAAAAAGTGTCATGTAAGTGTCTTTCCATGAAAAAGTACTGCTATATTATTAATATTATGAATACTGTTTAATCATATATTAATGCTTATTTTATACATTACCCAGCCTATTTGTCTTAATTCAGGCCAGATATTTGGAACAGTCTATTATCAATTAGGGGATATGAAGATAAAAAAAATAAAGTGACATTATGCTTATCAAAAGGTAAAATAGTAAGTGAAAAGGTGAAAGACAATATAAGTTTAAATTTTGCCTTAATTATTTAAAACTTTAAAATATACTTCACATGAACAATTGATATCTTGCATGGTCCAAGGAAATTTCAACAAACCAAAACAGTCAATATTTTGAAAAGTATAGTAAATTCTTCTCAATATGACAATGAAAATATGAGCATAATGTCATTTTAAAGTTCATCAGCTAACAGTATAAAGCCTGGTCAGATGAGCAAGCTTGCTTGACTTAAGATCTATACTGGTGGCAAAGGCTTATCACTTATGGTCCCAGTTAGGGTTAAGGTTAAATTATTAACCTTGTCATATTGTCTGATATTGAAATATCTCTAATGCTTTTATCTTGTTTCAAAAATGTGTTGCCTGTTTATGTGAAATGATTTGTGCTCAGATTATGTGCCATTACTGAATAGTCTAGATTACTTGTAGTAGAACAGTACACTACCTAGTTACAGACAAGCCCATCAATCAAATGCCCCCATAATAAATTTTTTTGTGTTTCCCAAAGGGTGAGCATATAGTCACCGCTTTGTCTTTCCGTCTGTCCGCTATTCTTGTCCAGGACATAACTTTGAAAGAACAAAAGGTATCATTGACATACAACTTTGTAGGTAGATAGATCTCATTGAGTAGATGTGCACTGCACAAGAACCATAACTCTGTCTTGCCTAATTTTGGAGTTTTTGCCCTTTGTTTATTTTTACACTTTAACTTTGTCCGGGACATAACTCTAAAACTATAAGAGATATCAACATGAAATTTTGTAGGTAGATAGATCTTATTGAATGGAAGTGCAGTGCTAAAGAACAATAACCCTGCCTTGTCTAATTTTGGAGTTAT